ATAATTTAATTAAAGCATTTTGTAACAAGAACTAACTCTTGCTATCCCATTAGTCTTAATATGAAAAATAAAATCAGTGTTTATCAACTTACGTTACGAGCCTTAATTAATGTTTAACAACGTGAATAATTTAATAATTTTTTTTTATATGATTTGATTTGTTCTGGGAGTCTCCCGGTGGGATAATGGCTAAGTATACAGACTTGCAACGCTAAATTCCGGGGTCCGATTCCACTCGGTGGACACAGCAGATATCCTAATATTGCTTTGCTCTAAAGCAGACAAGCAGTCGTTCTGGGAGATTGTACAACCTAACCTTAAAATGTTCAAACGAAAATTAATGTAATGACAGTGGTATGTTTGAAATTAACGAACCAAGAACAAGAAAGGTCCAACACATCTCAAAATTATATAAAAGAAAAATCTTCATCATCTTCTTAAACAACAGCGACAAGTCGTGTTGTACACGCCTCATTTATTGTAGTGTACTTTAAAGTTGTGCTTTTAACTCTGCGGCTATAAGGAAAACCACATAACCTTGATTTGGAATGGTCTTTAGAGGACAAATTGAAACTCTCTACAAATTAATGTCTCCATCATTCCCCACAGTTCTACCACTCCTACCCTGTATCAGAGTAGTCACATACACAGTATATATTTACTTTAGTCTGACACTTGCAGACTTTTGCAGCTCGACGTGTTAGTTTCTTGCAAGATAAATAACTGTAAACCACAAGCAGGCTTGTAAAATACTTCAGAGAGTGAACTTAGTATCTCTGTGTACGTTTTACAAGTTAACACACTTTGAGTATTTGAAGAAGTGATCACATTAGAATTTAGACAGGACTTAAGAATGATTTTTCTGTTTTAGCTATAGCGAACAACATAGTGTCAAAAGTTACTTGCTATGTCCCGATTCGGATTCCAGTGATACTTTTATCTGCTCTGAAGCTGTGCTATGCTGTGTTTAAAGAGGAAACCTTGATTGTTTATCCAGAAATGATTTTTTCAAATACAAGTTGTGAAGGGTAGATCATGGTGATTAGAACGCTTCAATGTATTTTACTTACACGTATATCTCTCTATTATTATTAAAGCTCAAATCATACTGTTTTCAAATAATTTTTATCCATAAGTCAAGAATGAGTGATTTTCTGATGTACTGTGCATCGAGCGTGAAACTGGAATGTAGTATGTACTCCAAATTTTGAATTTCGTGTTGCTTAACTCAGTTATCATGAATCATTTTAATTATCCTGCTCTTGAGTTATATTTGTGAGCCCTTTCAACCTTCTTTAGGCATCCCCATGATTTTCCATTTGTCATCCCTTGGGTTATCTTGGATTCTTTATGATATACCCCCCCCCCCCATTTAAATGTCTTATCTCTGAATTCACCTAATTTTCTTGTTATCTCTGTGTTTTTCATTCAACGGTCTTCAGTTTATCTTTGTGGATTTCTCCTTAAGCTCATTAATTTATCTCTGTAATAATCTTTACACTTTGAATATGCCTTGAACACCCTATCTTCTTAATCTACACTTCATCTTGCGTAATAATCAAAGTAAGTTTTAATTTACTTCTGGAATCCTCTCCTCATATTCAGCCATCTTTTATGAATAAACCAGTACATGATATCTGTGTAGGCTGTTTTGCTTTGAACATAAGTTAATGTTAATTACTTTGATGGCCTTCTGTTGAGCCGCTTGTACTACCCGCTCCGGGATTAAACTTGCTGTTTATACAGCTCTTCTGTTTTGCGAGCAAACTGGTGAACACATTGAACACTTATTATTTCCATAGTAGGGCTTTTAGAAGTAGTATGTGTAGACGTTATAGTGTTTGTGTGTGATTTTGTACATTTTATTCAGCTCCCAAATGCACGTGTTTCACTAAGAAACAGTGTTCACCGAGTTTCTGTTGGATGGAAGTTTACCAAATCTCTAACTGTTGACTGATAATTCTTCCCCGTAAATTTCCATTGCTGATACTTGAAGGTGACATTGTATTTAGTGGTTTTGTGTTTAGACCCAGCGTTGTGCAGGAAATTGCACAAATACTTTTTGTCATTCCCTGTAAAGTTATATTATTGTGATATTTCACTAGTATCCCAGGGAGATAGTGATTTTTTGAAAACACTGACATGCACGATTCTTTGTCATTAAAGAGATGATTCATTTAGTGAATCGTGATACTTTTAGATACTACGATACTAGAAACTCGTAGTTAATATTAATATATATATATATATATGAATTATAAACATGGCACACGTGTGGATAGCATACGATTTAGTTGAAAGCAGGTCGTTGCTGGTTGATATAGTGGTTTCTGCAGTAACCTTGGAATGTATATACGTATTTAGAAAGATGACACATCCACGCGTGCGCGAGTTACTTTTTGAGGCAGGCATGAAGGTTAGAAAAACATTGGTGACATTGAGCGACAGGGGGAATTAGTTTTTCAAGGTTAGGACCGTTTGAAGTGCGAATAAGTACACGTATGCGCGAGCCGCAGCATTTAAACCACAATATTTTTTTTATAGGAGCATGAGAAAAACAGCGTTAATCTAGCCAACGAAGTGTTCATTTGAGTTCGTAGTTATAATTTTTAATAATTCGTGGGTAGTAAAGAGTAGAAACCTGTTCCTATCAGAAAGTATCAGCTAAAAGTTATTAATCATTATGCATACAATGTACAAAATAAAAGTCAACAATAACATATCACTATACTATTTTTAAGCCTGTATCTTTCGTTTTCCTCCTTTCTGACGTTGAGTTTATAAGAGCATTCTGTAACTTAAAACTGTGAGCAAACTTGCCTGCAATTTATTTTTTCCTTATTTCACGTGTTGCAAATGCCACCTGTTTTGATTTGATTTTCTAATATTCGCCGAGTATATATATATCTAAATATATGGAAGTCACTTAAGTCATAACGGTTTTATAAAAGGTGTTAAGCCTTTATATTATTCAGAAGTTATGATACTGTAGAGTGTAGATCATAAAGTTCCACATGAACAGTTCTAAACATCTGAATTCTCTGGTTTATTTTAAACAAGTAGAACGTGAAGAGTGCTAGGAATTTTTATCTTTCCTTAACATGCATTTTTTAACATTTGGATCTGTATTTTTAGGCGTGAGTAAAGGTTAGAGATGTTTTCCAATAGTTTCTTCTTCCAGAAATACTGTTCTTTAATAGAATTCCACTTTGGAACATTGCCAGATGTAAAAGGGGGGGGGGTAATAGAGAGGAAAATAAAAGCTAGGATCGATTGTTTATTTTTAAACAATGTTATTGGTGACCACTTTACGAGAAGGCGTGCCTTTTCTCTGAAAAAACACTTGCTCGCATGGATTTTATTACAGGTATGAACGTTTACCTGATTTGTGGGTGAATGAACTCTCTCTGTACCGTGTCTTTACTTTCAGAAAAGAAACTTGATTTTGTATGTATGGGGATGGTTTTAAAATTTCTATTCATTGTACTTTTATCTGAATTTATACATAATATTTAAAGTGGAAAGTTATTTATAGTTCGTTATTTGTGTAGAATTTGATGTAGGAACTAATAAACATAGATGAATGAAGAAATTTGTACAGCGTGAAACTGGAATTGCTTTTAAGTTATACTTAATTTTAGTAACATTTTTTATCACTGTGGGTGTAGCATGTATACGCTGCTTCAGGCAAGCTTAATGGTACTTCCGTTGACATTTAAAGTTTCCTGTTTTCATCATACTCTACTGTTAGTCACGTGCTACTGAGCGGCAGAACTGAAGCGTATATCGAAACCTCCCAATAAATAGAATCTTTTAAATGTTTACTAAAATCGTCGATTTTTCTTTTCCGTCTTATTGATCATAGATTTTTCACGTACTAAACTGAAAGTTGCGGATACGTGTGTTTGGAAATCTTATTTTAGGTTTCTGTGTACGTCATTAACATTTTTTGCTTCCATTCACTTTTGTTATTTCTTACTTTACACTTCATTCTCGTTTCCAGTTCACCCCTGAAGAAGAAAGGTGTGTGTGGTATTTAAATTATAAGATTTTGTAAATATTCAGTTTGTAATGGTGTTCTTGAAGTCTATATAGTAAGTTATGAAAGTATATTTGTAGAAAATAAGTTAGTATTACGTATTGCTCTAAATCTCGCTATTTATGCTTAACAGCCTCTCTAAGAAATTATTCCGTGTTACTTTAATTAAACTGCAATAAAATATTAAGAGTAAATGGTGTGAACAGGTTTGTTTTTGTAGGTTTTGACGTCCTGTCTTATATTTATGGTGAAAATGTTTCAAGGTTAATGCACTGTTTTAAATTGACCAGGATTTTCTGCGGGCAGGTTTCGATTTGCAATACAGAGTTGATGAACAGTAAATATTTGTTTTTCGACATGTAAATAAAACAAAAGTGTTTGAGCACACAGCAGATGTTCTGAACAATTCCACAGCATGGTACAGAATATTTGTAAAAATCGATTTTTATGGACTCTCCTTGAAAACGACGTTCTGAGCTGGTTTTCTTGGCACTGTGCCAACAGTAGGCTAAGTTCATACTGCACAGTTTGGGTCAGTTTTTCCTGGAGCTTCTAGTTACATATCTCAACACGTCATGCCTCACTAACGTTGTTACCTAAGGTTACTGTTCCGATTTTTGCAGTAAAGCTGCCTTTAAACATAGAAGTTATTAAGCTTATTCTATTGTATCTACATAACATTCTTGTTCCAAGAGGTAGCATTTCTTTAATAATTCTTTTGAGATTTTCTGTTCTTCTTTTGCTATATATTTTTTGTATTGGTAATTATCTCATAGTATTTACACTTTTTTACACTGTGTTTTGTATGAATGTGTGTGTGTGTTTTATTCTGGAAACATTATTAGTATGATGTTTTTATGAGTTAAGATTTTCAAAAATACATTTCACGTAGCCGGTTGACAGAACTTGTATAAAAGTTGTGTTAAGAGAGAGAGTAATGAAATTTATTTATCAATTTTAGTGCTTCTGCTGGATCCAGTACTGTAGCCATAGACAACAAGATAGAGCAAGCCATGGTAAGTTTATCTCTTTAATTGTATGTGATTCTTAAGATATCAATATCAGAAATAGCTGTGCCGTAGTATGGTTTCCCAGAAACTCGTTATTGTGTGTAATACAGAGAAAGTCCCATTTGTTATGAAGATCGCCATGAAACCGACGTGAAAAGGCCGAAATGTTGCCCTCATTTCATTCAACAGGCAATTGCAGTCCATTAAAGTTCTTAAACTTATCATATGTACTATGTCTAAAATTTCACCGAAACAAGGTTATGAAACTTGCTGATGTATAAACTCAGAGGATATCAAATTACTCGTTTTTCTCCTGGGTATTATAGTGTGATAAAATAGGGACTTATGTTTGAATGTAAAAGCTTTATTTGAACTATTTCTGTTCTTCTCCTCCAAGTACAATGTGGTAAAATAGTGACCTGTTATTTGGATGTATTAAGCTTTATTTTAGATATGTCTGTTCTTCTCCTTAGTACGGTAAAATAGTGATTTGGTATTTGGATGTATTAAGCTTTGTTTGAACTAAGCCTGTTCTTTTCCTCCTTAGTATAGTGTGGTAAAATAGTGACTTGGTATTTGTATGTATTAAGCTTTATTTGAATTGTTTATTGAACCTAAAGAGATAAAACAGATATAAGGAGATAATGCAATATAATAAAAACTGAAAGGAAAATAAAATTTCTCAGTTTAAAACATTTTAAAATAAAGTGTTAAACAATAGACAGTGCAGGATTTAAATGTTTTTATATTTTGATCTTGTTATAGTGAAAATAAAAATATTTTTTATTTCTAAATATTAAGTGCATTTTGCTTGTGGTACCTTAAAGCATATGCCATTTTTTAAAATTAATGTATGTTACAATTTCATAATGAACTTATTCTAGAATATTATTGTGACATCAAATCAGTGATTGTTTACCCCTGATAAATGAATGTGTTGACACCTAAACCACTGTTTAAATAACAAAGTTAAGTTTTTGACTCTGCTTCTGATTTTATTTAAATTTGTGATATGATCTCAAAATTACTTTGACTCATGACATTCCAAAGAAGAGTGTCCTTTCCTTTACAATTTATTTCATGAGGGGTAGATTGTTATTTACCCCTGATAAAGGAATGTTCACTTTTTAAAAGCATTCAGACTACTGGGTCACTTTACTGATGCTTAGATTATTGTAGCTCCTAAGTTTGACTGTGATAAAGCTGTCAAATAAAAAAAAACAACAATTTTTATTGCAGGACCTTGTGAAAAGCCATCTGATGTTTGCTGTGAGAGAAGAAGTAGATGTGCTGAAGGAAAAGATTGGAGAACTTCTGGAAAGGATATCACAGTTGGAGTACGAAAATGGAATATTGAGATCTAATGCTTCCCAAGAAACACTGAACAAAATCTCCCAACCTGCTTGTCAAATGGCTTCTCAACATCCACCAGGATCTACAATGGGGGCACCTTCCCACCAACAGGCTTCACTGCCAGGACATCCTCAGCACCAAAATTCTTCCACGTAACCCTTGCTGAAGCATGGGCAGAGAAAGTTCCTGATTGTAAATAGTAATATGTATGTGTACAGTAAAACTAATTAAGATGTATGGTTGAAGAGGAAGTAGTAGTGAAATAAAATGGTATGTGTGAGATAGGTATAGTCAGAAGAATAAAGTTTAACCTGAAAGGAAAAGCTAGATGCTGTAGTGAACCAGCCCAAAAACTACATTTGTTCTTTTAGAAGTCAGATCAGAGTTGAGTGTTGTTAGAAGTACATCCCAAGCCTGTCCAGAAACTGCAGAGTTATTTCAGAAGTCAGATCACATTCACTTGTGTGATATTGGGAGTATGCCTTAGGTCTGTCAGAAGACACACAAATCCTTTCAGGACTAGATCACAGTCGATTTATATTAGAAATGTGCCCAAAACCTGTCCAGAAACCACATAGCTTCTGTCTGGAATTAGATCACAACTGACTATGTGTTATTGGGAATATGCTCTAGGTCTGTTAGAAACCACACAAGTTTGTTCAGAAGTAGATCACAGTTGAGTGTATGTTACTGGAAGAATGCCCAGATCCTCTCAAGGAACCATTTAGGTTTTGTTAGAAATCAGATCACAGTTGACTTTGTGTTATTGGGATTTTCCCTAGATCACACAAATTCTTTGAGAAGCAGATTGATTGCGTAGTACCAGAACTATGCCTCAAAGCTGTCCAGAAACCACATAGGTTCTTTCAGAAGTGAAATTACAGAAAATGAAATTTTTTTTTTTTGTTTTGTTTACAAACTACATGTGGTTCTCTCAAGTTATATACCTCCTCATGACTTAGTTAACTTTGAACCTGCTTTTCTAATTTTTTTGTAACTTTAATCCTTAGTTAGATAAACCAGATCCTTTGCATATTGCCACAGAAACCAAGCTCTCTCTCAACAAAATCTCTACACTGCTTTTGAATATGTAAACAGACTCTTCTTTGTAGTGGAACAGTGTAAAATACCTGTTATCTTAAGAATCTTCAAGTTAGAAATAATTAAGTTACTCTAGATTATTATGCCAATATTTCACTGTGTAGTTTGTCTGTGTGATACACTTTGGGTCATTTTCAAATTCAGCCTGTCAATGTGAATTCTCAACACAGTATATAAACTTATTCAGTGCCACAAATCATGTGAAACACCAATTTTCTGAATGCCATTGTTCAACTATGCTGTTTTTTTCTTTCATTTTGTTTTTAATTAGACGGGTTTTTAACTTTTCAATGATAATAGATGTTGCCTGGATGTCCAGCTTAACTTACAATGTTTATCTGCCTTATAAATCTTTACTGCTTTTTCTCTTTCCAGATGAAATAGGAAAGAAAAAAATCTATCACTGTTTTTTTGTGTATGTGTCATTTACATAATCAACACCTTGAATAGAAATAATAGTTTAGTGTTTGTATAGTGGTCAGTTAAATCAAAATGACCTAAATACTATATCATAACAAGTAACCTGTAAGCAGTGTTATTATGCACACAATAACATACTCTGTGCAGATGAATGTAAAAGTAAACATAGTATTTTGTAGAATGTTTGGCTTAACCAGTGTTCTACAGTGTTGGTAGCTATGCTGTTTTATCTTCAGCAGTAATCACTGTGTTTATGTGTATGGTGTATTCATTTTTTGATATGACTGTTAACATGGTAATTTGTTACTGCATGAAAGATAATTTCTTTAGAATGAGTTATAATTATTTTGAAAGATGTAAAAAAAAAAGAATACTGGCATGAACAGTCATCTATCAGCAGCTAATTTTTAAAATTATCTAGAATATCGGTGTTTTCTGGCCACAGCTAATTTCGGTTTAAAATCTGGCAAGAAAATTAGTTTTTAGCATAAGCTGTCACCTGACAGCAGCTAATCCCAGTTGTGAATTTGTCAAGAAAGCTAGTATTTAACATTGGGTGTTACTTAGCATCTTCTATTAACTGTATATAAATATTAGTTTCAGGGTTCTAATGATGTTAACATGAAATGTCTTTTGGAAATTATAACTCTCTCAAGAAAGCACTAGCCTGATTAAAATATTAGAATATCAGTGTTGGTGTGAACTGTTATCTATTATCAGTGAAATTGTTAAAATTCTAGAACCTGAAAGATTGAAGAAAAGTTTCAAAACTATTTTACTATGTATACAGTTCTATAAAATTAATGAGAAAAAGTTAGGTTCTTTAATGTCAGATGAGATTACATTTTATAAAAACAAAATAAATTGTGCTTAGTTGATCTATTCTCATATGACACTTGTTTACAAAAGTTGATGTTTGAGGCTAGGTTACTCATGAACCTAAAAGTCTTCCCTATTAGAAAACACAGAAAAATGCTTTTTTTTTATGTAGAACTTCTTTAGTACATGGAACAAATAAAGAATGTATGCATTTCATCTTTCAAATGAAAAGTGACATACAGGGCATTTAGTCCTTGATTTTTGTAAAAATATTTTGAATAATTGGCCTTAAAAGAAGTAAAATTATTAGTAATTATTACTTTTATCCATCCTCCCAGTTTGTCAAGATTCATTCTTTATTTTCCAGTTCTTTCATTACTAGTAGTATTTTTCGTCAAGCTGCATAAACCAGTTACTTTAGAACATGTGATCAGTGAAAGAATGTTGTAATTTCGGATGTATTTTATTCACAAGTATTGTTAGGTTCAAACTTGCAGAATACATATGGTAAAACTGCAAATGTCATTATTTCTGGAAGAATGTGAATAATATACTTGTTGTGTTACAAACAGTTTTGCAAAGCTTACTTTTAAATTCAGATAAAAAGAATAAATTAATCTAACTTTTTTTTAATTGTGATCAACATTGTAGTTTAAAAACAAACATTATTTTGTAACACCGGCATTTTATAACCTATAATTATAAACTTTTAGTGGGTGTTATTCAAGGCAAATTTTATGATAATGAGATTCATAACATTTTTGTTCAAGGAAATGTAATGATAATTTGTAAAATTAAATTCCTGTTAGTAAAATTGGAATGCTGAGGATGGTAAATAGTTCATTGTCAATTAATTTACTCATTTTTGAAATCGGGTTTTAACTGAATCGTTGGACTATAAACAGTGCAACTTGGTTTGAATCCGAAAAGTATAGTTTGCAATTTTCTCCTTGTTTAAATTAATTTTGAATCATAAAAACTTGGTACATATTGTTAACATATAAAGGTTAGCATATTTTGGTCGTGTGTGTGGGCTACATCAAGCTGAAATATACAGAAATGTGAATTGATCTGTTAAGTGTTGTTGACAAGGATTAATTCTCAGAAATCTAAAGTTCTTGTGGATTGATACTCTTGTAGTTCTGTATCAGGCAATGGACATCTTTCCTGTATAACATAGCTCTATGTATACATTTAGACAAATATACTAGTTGTTACATAACTAGGGCATAAATTATTAACATTTAAAATCAGTAATAGGTTTTAAAACTGAGGTTTAAATTGTAATAATGCTTTATATGAAAAAACATATAAAATATTGGTGGAAGATTGTATTTCCATATAATGATTGCTTTTATCATAGATTAAATATCTGCCTTACTTTGTTATCATGCATGATGTGTAGTAAGTTGTTGTCTTCAACATTTTATCTCCTAAAATGCTCATGAAATGGAAGTTAATGCTTGCTTGTGATATAGAATGTGGTGTGGAATCATCTAGTAAAAATTGTAAAGGTTGTTAAAACCTAGGGTTGCTGGTGTTAAATGTGAAATTTTGTCTTTCATCATTTAACCTAGTAGATAGACATTTGCTGCTTCATAATACCTATTACTTACTGTAAATAGCCTTATATATATGATAAATAAATTTCTGAAGCTTGCTGTATTTCTTTTCTATTATTGCTGCTTCTTACAGGGAGTCTGAACAATTCACTAAATATTGATTTTGTACCAATAGTGATGCTTTAATAAATAAAATTAAATACAAACCAGGATGATGAAGATGATAATCCCTAGAAGTGAACAACATTAAAGATTTGTATGAAAGAATTTGGGATTTTGATCACAAACCAAAGTATTTGGGATTTTACTTGTTCATGGCGTTGAATACAAATAATATGTATGATTGTGTTTAATTTATGGTATTCAGCACAAATCAAGATTTCTGAAATATTGAATCTGTGGTACTGAAAACAAACTGGATCTCTAGGATTATACTAGTACATCTGTGTGATTTAACAGGATATATTCATGATTATACTTGATATGTGGCATTGAACCAAATTATAGAATGTCTGGGATCATGCTATTTGTATATGCAACAAAACTACAATATCACATTCAGTTTGGACTGAAACATACTCAGGTTATTGAAAGTTGCATCTTTGTGGAATTACAAAAATGCTACCAGACAATGTTTTTAATAAGCATATTTTCAGGATTTTCCAAAGAATATATAAGTGAGGATAAGTAAAACATTTTACCTCAAAATCTTGTAAGTTTCATCAAAATTAAAGTTTGGTTCCTTTTACTTGTATGTGAAGGGAGGAAGTGAGATAAATTTATAATTTGTATTCATGTAATAGGTTTAAAGTTTTTGTTTAGAAATATAAGCTCTAAAAATTTCATTTTACAAGCAGCAAAAAGTTGTATTTCTTAATCTTGTAAATGAAGACATTCTAATCCAGCAAATAATGACATTTCATAAAACTTGATTGATTCATAGTAAGGACAGACAGACAGACAGACAGAGGAAACTGTAAAGCAAAATAACCCAGTAACAGTTTCAATTTTTAATATTAACTTCCAAACACAGCATGCTAGCTATTAAAAACAAAATTAAAAATCAACCTGAAGGTGAGTATAGCTAATTAAATATACTTTTCTTACTTGTAAAGGTTAGAATGCATTGTTTCATCAGTTGGGTACCCTCGCTGTTAGCAATATTTTTAGCTGTAAACCCAATAATATATTCCATGAGGTTTGGCCAGTTTAGGAGATTTAGATTAGTCCTAAATTCCTATGCTAAGCTGCAAATGCAAAAAAATTTATAACACTAAGCATATCGTACATTCTAACAAAAAAAAAGTAATGAAATATTAACAAATGTCTTTTTGTTGTTGTTTTTGTTTATATAAAAAGAACCGAAAAATGGGAGTGATGTATTTTCATACATGTTACAATGATAGAATTAAGTTTGAAATATCATTTTTTTTGCCCAGAGATTTACTTGATGTCTAAGACAAATTAAAAAAAATCACTTTGTCAGCAGATTATCTATGATGTAGTTGAATATGCATTTTGTTGTTGTTGTTGCAGAAACTCATTAATAAAAGATCTTCAGGCATTGCCTGTTGAAACTATCAAATTAATTATTAACTTTTGAAATGAACCTGAGGATTAGTAACTTTTTGTAACAGAACATGTTTGACTTAAAATGAGGTAATCCAAAGACATAAGGCTAATCACACTTTGTAATAGTTATTTACATATGCTAATGCCATGGGGTGTGGCTGTAGGTGCAAGGCTTTGTTTTATAATTGGGTGAATTCCCAACCATTTGATGTACAATACTACAATGGGTAGTAGTAGCTGAAGGAAGATGACAGCCTTTTTTTTAAATTTCAAAGGATATGCCTATAGGAAGATTGTTAAAGATGTGGAAATTAAAGTATACAAAAACACATCAAAGAAGGGAACCTTTAAGAAAGTAGGAAAACTTGCATAGCAGATATTTGGGACAATAAAAGTCTCTGAGACCATGCTTTAAGCCAACATGAAGAGAACTTTCCTCCACAAAGCAAAAGATATGGTCATAAGAAAGAATCCTCCATTTCAAAATGCCATTGAAAATAATCTGGGTATCTCTCTTGGAACTGTTAGTAAGATAATAAAGATCTAAAGTTGAGGTAAGTTTACAAGATTCCAGCCACACCTAAGATAAACAGTTGTTTTCCCAAGAAAGATGGCTCCAGTCACAATAGTTCCATTCAACCGCATACATTTCAAGTCTCCTGATACAGCTCCAGTGAATTCATGCTTTTTATTAGGTTAAATGTGGTCTTGGAATCTGAAATCCATATACAGTGGAAAGTTTACCAATAAGCTTGCTATAATGGATATTACAGTGCTGGGCAATGGTGTGTAATCACTGAATCTTTAATATTGACTTAAGTTCAAAGCAAGCTACCTTGGTAGATCAAAACTAAAAATAAACACGGTAATGACTGTAGTTAATTCAAGCTCATTCAAATTAGTAAAATAATTAGAAGAATATTATAACTTTCCAATACACCGTGTTTCTAAAAACTTAATTTGAACATGACAATCACAGCTGATATAGAGTAGCAATGTAATGGCATGTATCAGAACTATGTTTTGATTTGTTTGGCTTTTCATAGGTAACCAATGAAAATTTGTAGCTTTGGGAAGGGTATGTAACAGCCCTTTCCAATTTAAAATATTCATAAACTTAAATCATACAGATGTGTCCAGATCAGAGGATTTAAAATTTCCAACACAAGGACATCCTTACTTAATGGCATTGGAAAATGAAAGAATATCGGTTGAAATGGGGTTCCTGGACTATCCAGGGAGAGACCTGTAACAAGTCATACCACAGTGATGGTAAGCAAAGTCCACATGACACAGGCAACAAAATCGAGCAGGATATCCATGTGGAATAGTAACACAAGTTGCTTCCACCATTCAACCATTGTATACCGCAAGCACCTGGAGAATGAAATGAGTATTCATGCTATTCCTTATAAAAATATACTGGTCAAGTCTCCAGATGTAGATTTCTTTACAAATGGCTTGTATAAAGAGGGATAGTTTGAAAACTGTCATTCTTGTATACTTGATGGATTATGAAAAGCCTGTAGGGAGAAGTGGTATGTTTTGGATGTGAAAGCCTTATGACACAACTATTTGCAAAAGAAACTATGTTGCAGGGCTACTGAAGATACACAGTTGTCAGATAGAGCATAATCTGACATAGTAACATAAATAATCTACAACTTCTGGGATGTATTTTAACTGAGAACACTTCAATTACAATCCTTTTTCATATCTCTTTCAGTAACAATTTTATCTATTATTATCTGAAATAAAAAAATAGTATTATTATTATATTTTTCACACTATCCGTAAGTGATATTTCCCTCTGATATCACAAATACTCTGATCCACACATAGATCATAACTAGTTGCCACCACATAAAAAAAATCTTTATTTAAGAGCAAACAATTAATATAATATGTAACTTATATCCAGGGTTATAAAATTTTGATTAAATGGATTTAAGTAGGGATAATATCAGTATTTTGAGCAAGAGGAAATGGCTGTAGCCACTGTGACCAAAAGAAATACAAGTTCTTTAATCTCAGTTAATCAAAAATTTGTTGTGCAGAAAAAAACCCATTAGGTTTGGCACCTAGTTTCCAGTATTAATACTTAAACTTTCTTCTGATTAATGAAGATGTTATTCACTGGTAAGCTACATGAAGTAACATTTTAGTTAAGACAAAACACAAGGTTTTAAAATTCCTCCTACAGGTATCATTTTAGATAAAGTTCACAGTTTCACTAAATTTAGTTAACTTGACTTCCATTCTGTATGAAAAATTTTGCACCATATTTTATCAGTCGAAAGATGTTTTACTGATTAATAGCAAATTTAACTTAATGAAAAAGTTTTTCAAATTATTTATTATAGCTATAAACAAATGTCCTTTCTGTGATAGTCCAAGCAAATATTGTCCTTTGAACAACTATTTAAATAGGTTTATATCTATAATGTAGTTCTGATACATTCAGTTCCAACACAACTATATCAGCTGTGGTTGTCATATGATTTGCATATTCAAAATCTTTTAATATAATGCACTGAAACCTCTGTAGTAGCTGATCTAGTAAGGTTTTGGTAGTTCAGTAAGTAGGTCTCTAATATTTTGTATACCAATTGTACTTGAAATGGCAACTATATAAACAAGAACTTTGCAGCTCAAAACATAAGCAACAGTAATATTGTTTATTTGTAATCTTCAAATTAATTACTAAACTACTGGTGTTACATAAATAGTACATATGATTGTAAACATTAGTTTCCAAATTGTAATCAGTAAATTACACTTGATAGTAACCACCAGTGACAGATCAAGCCAAAAAGACAATTATGTTAATCAAACATCTAATGAAGAATAAACAAATTGGTGTAACAGGTTACAGAAAATTGACAGAACTCTTTAAACAGTTACATCAAAAACTTACTCATTATTAACCACCAATATGAAGATTTAAAAACTACATTAAACCAACAATATGCTAAAAATAGAACAAAATGCATTCATAATTTTCTAATACTGACAAATGAAAAAAAAGCATAATACTGTAAATCAAAATGTTTACTCAAATTAAATTAATAAATGAATTAGGAACTATTACGCCTAACATTAGTGATAACAAGTGTTTAGAATGCATGTTTTTCTCACACTCCTCATACTTTGTCTAGTACAGACTTCAAACCAGTGGTGTATAAAAGTAGAATTTTGGATGTATGTTTTGTCTCCCAGAAGCCATTGCTTATTAGGCATTCTCTCAATATTATAACTTGTCAACTGAGATGGATGGTGAGAGACAAAAGTTCATAAGAAAGGCTATTTATATACTAAGTATACACATTTCAGAGTTATGGTTTGAATGCTAAAGACCCAATAAGCTTAATATTTATAATTCAAGTCACTTAGATTGCAGATGTTTTTCACATTGCTCTTAATTTTTCCATTATGGATTTCAAACTATAAATAAATAGTGTTTCAAATTGTCTCTGGTCATGGAGACACTCTAATGAGTTCTGGTACTGAACTGAGGGAGTAGTGACTTGTGGGCCTATAAGATCTCAATACTCTGCTAGTTTTTGATGTTCAAATCACAACTGTGATAAAAGAATTGTTTATTATTACAGGAATGAGTAAATAAATATAAAACAGTTTTACAACAACAAAAAAACAAAACAACTAATGTTATGATGCAGTTGAAATATTTCACTATTTAAAGTTAGAAAAAAGTTGTAAAATAATTTTTATGGTTTCTTTACCAAACCAGTTTATTAGAAGAACATACTTCCACTGGTGTGATAACTAACTTAGTTTTTTAAGTACCAGTAAACAGTAATTGAAATATGGAAAACAATATGATACATATTTTTGCTGAATTACTATATATGTAAATATATATAAATAAATAAAGGGGAATTTCTTGATTACGCTAAATATTCTGCAGAGTAATCTGCCACAGAAAATCTTGTTAAAATACAGTTTCTATAAAGATATTGCTATCCTTAAAATTGGTTGCAAAAGGAATGCTCTACATAAAAAGTTTTTTCTATATTAAATTCACTAATATCTTTTAAGTGATATTGTTTGAAATTGTTTAGATATATGTTTATAGAAACCTTTGGCTACTTTAGGCAGGACTGGTGGGAAGAACATCACTTCTTTTGACATAATTAAATATCTTGTGTTACTATCATAAGGAGACTAAAACATCTTGAGCAGTAAGCAATAACATTATAATTTTGATAATGCTCTTTTAAGGAAACCACAAATTAAAGTCACTCCGGATCAGGTACATGTCTTATTTCTGAGGTTGTACAATAGACATTTAAAAGAACTCATGCCAGTGTCTTTGTAAAACATGGCAATTAGTGACAATTAACTACCATACCATATAAATATATTTAACTGTACAGGTATGTTTGAATATATATATATTTATATATATAGACACACACACAATTTTAAACCCACCAATACACATCTGCGTGTTCATTTATATGAAAAAACATTTGCATCATCTTAAAAACATCTCAAATAACATTGAGATCTATACAAGTCACCAGAGGTCAGTCTACTTATTACTGGAGTTTGAAAGAAGCATTTCTATGATCACTGGTAAATTTACAATTATTCACTAAATATAATAGTGTACTATCAAGTAGATTCTCATTTATGACTGGCACCATATCAAACTTAAAAATAAAGTGAAATAAATAAGAAAATAATAGTATCAAAAATAAATAGTGTAAGTTAATAAAACTTAAAATAGGAAAAAACATATCTGGTTTTATGTACAGATATTCAGTATGTGTGTCTCCTAAACCTAAGCTAATAATTGTGAATAATGACCCTCAAGTGACAGTGTAACTAACATACAGGGTTGTGCCACTTGGTTCAGCAGATCATTTAATTGCATTTCCCAATTAAAATTCACAGGTACATTTCAGACTAGATTAATAGTATCATCTATTAAAAAGCGCATTTCACATTTAACATGGCTATTTGAATTTATTATTACTTACTATCCACTAGTCAGCATCACTAGTTATAACACTTACATTTTTCATTTGTTTGTTGTTCAGCATAAAGCTATGCAATGGGCTATTTGTGCTGTGCCCACACAAGTATTGATACCTAGTTTTTAGTGTTTTAAGCCTTTAGGCTTACTGCTGAGCCACTGGGAGGCAATACTCACTTACTTAAATCAAATATTTCTTGTCAGTTTAGAAACAGTACTTTAAATACAGGTTGTAATTGGCTATTATTAATAAAAATAAAAAACCCTGAGACTTTATAAATTTAAGTTTTAGTAGATAACTGTGATGTCACCAAGAAAAAAGTTATAAAATAAATATTAAAAATAATGTATTCCCTTCTACCTGAGAGAGTTAACTTTATTCCGTATAGCAAATGTACAAGTGCATGGGCTGAAATTGCTAGTTTTATAAAGTTTTCACTGTGTATAATATTTACTAATGTATATAGTATTGGCCAATTTTACATGTCATGTCTTACAACAGTAACAATTTACATACAGATACTTACTGGCTTAAAGACAGATATAGAATTAAATCCCCAACACCTGCTGAGCCAGTGAGGTTATAGAATTTAGGATTTACACACGTTTACCATGTTGGACATGTCACTTAACATCACAATATTTTTTCTCATATCCCTGTCAGACACATCTTTTAATATAATTGTAATAACATTTCTTTATTTTTCAACTTATTAATGCCAAACTCTTTATTTATCATCATAATACCCCTTCTTCACATCTCCAAATATCTCTTATAATAGTACTTCCTACTATTCATAAATGTGAACCAAATACTTTTGAAATCATCTTAATAATATTTCTTCATGGTACTTATGTCATCACGTCATTCATCATCTTAACACTTCTTCATTTTTTAAAAATCATTGAAAACATTTTCTAAGACAAAGATGAAATTACACCCCTATTATAAATAATTCTACTCTAGTTTTTTAAAATCACTTTAGGAAAGAAGTGTCACTAAATAAACCTATTTATAATAAATATACAATTGTTTCAAACCTTTGTTACTTACAATTTGTTTCCACCAACTTCACTGTAATTGGACAAACTGAACCAAGAGCATGTGCACTTTTTTCCAAAATTTTTTCAAGTTTGACTCGGAGATTTACTTTGAAATCTTTCTGATTTTGGAACCAAAACTGAACCATTGCCAATAAACATTCTACCAGAAGAGAAGAATGTAATCTTATTTATAATGCAAAAGAGAAACTGTCAATCATCTGTTAAAGGTATATCTCAACACTCAAATTCCACAGTTGACGAAAGTTAACATCATTTGCACAGCAACACCACTACATTTTTACAGCTGAAACAACGTGATATATAGTCATCATCACAACTGCTGTTTGAAATGTGTAGTTACAGAACATTGTAGAAAATTTTTGTTACTGCCAAACTTGTCAACAATGTCTATAGATAACTATTATAAAGTATAATTTCAGAAAAACAGTTACAGAACGACTAAACTGTGTTATATTGCCCTTATTTTGCAACTAAATTTCAACTTAGTTTACAATCCTCATCACAACTACTATTTAAAAAGGAGTTACAGAAGGAGGAAGCAAAGTTTTATTGTAGTTTTGTTAAAGGTAATTTACTTAATGTGATCTATAGTCCTTATTACAGCTATTGCTTTTGTGGAGAAGATAAAACTGACAGCTTTCTTGTAGTTCTGTTACACTCCATTAACGAACATTGTGTACAGTCCTCATCATAGTTGATGCTTGAAAACACAGACAATAAAATGGGCATAGTTTTAACACATCTGAAACAATATAAATCTATAGGTTTCATCACAACTATACGCAATTAAGGTTTGCTTCTTTTACAAATATATGTCATATATACTTTAATATTGTTTCTTATTTTTTAATTTTGTTTTACAAGACACATTGCAAATGAAGAGGAAGGTATAAATTTCATAATAAAATGGAAGAACTGATATTAATCTTTTAGGCTATAAAGCCACTAAACTAGATATCTTGGCTCTGAACTGTTAATCACCACAAAGACACTGGTATAAATTCAGTATAGTGAATATTTTAAAGTATCAATTTAATCACTAGAATTAATTCTATATCATTCCTTTCTAACAAGTATACAATTTTTGATTAATTTTATTTAACATATTTTGAAGCTGACGGGAATATTGTAAAGGAAAGAAATGATTTAACCGGGGATAACAAAATAAATAATAATATCATATCAAATTTACCTTAGCTGAAAACGATATAAAGCTCACAACATACTAATATTTCTTCAAACGAGAAAACAAACGATGAGAATCAGACATGAGCTATTGTTGAACACATGCATTCTCAACAAAAACTAGATGACAATGGGAATGAGACCTGAACTATTTTTAAACACATGTAGTCTCTGCATCTTTGGGAAATACCAATAACAATGAAGATTGTGAATTGGATTTTGGTTTTTCTTCTTCTTTCAAAAGAGCTGCATTTTCGCTGTTGCTCAGTGACTCATTAGACTCTTTTTGGGTAATATAAGTGTCTTTGCTTGGAAAAAGAGGGAGAGAAGGTCCTTCTGGACTTGGTGATGGAGAGTGTGACCTCATATGAACTGCTCCTCTTCGCCGGGGAGCATGGTAATCCACAGTTGTTTCTTCTACGACAGTTTTCTGTTTGGGAAAGAAATCCACTTCTGGGATTATGGATGTTACATCTGATTCATTCACACACAAAGAGCCCTCCTCAGCTAATGTTAGCTGTTTCATAGTTGTTGCCATTGGGATTTCTTCAGTGGGTTGCTTAGTCTCCACAGCAAAGCCAGCACTTCGTCTTGACTTACGAAATCGAAAAGTTTTACGGCTTTGTGCCTTTTGTCGTTGCAAACGGTGGCGTGGACGATGGGAATCACTATCATGATCAGGAGAATGAATGCCAGAAGGACTGGTGGGACGGGAGGTCGGCTGGCTGGTGGGAGCTACGCAAAAATCAGTGAGGATTAACTATAGCCTCAAACAATCAATTTAATAACAAACTACATTAAGATCTAGTAGGTTATTATCTCTCATCCAAACAGAGAATCAATCAGAAGAAGAAGTTTTGATATGATACAAATATTTCTATTGAATATAATGATAATATGAAAAAATATTATGCTTTTAATAAATTTGGTCAATTATTTCATAATAATTGTCAAATACTTTACTGTCACAGACACATCAGTCTCTTTAACAATACCTACCTCTCCAACCAGTAATATTCTCCTGGCTTCTCTCAACATCCACTCCCTCTTCTCCACCAATTATTGAAGATTGACTTCCACCTCCACAACTTTTCTTGCTGCCTCGCATTTTAATGTACAGGGTGGACTTTCGAAATAATCTGGGTTCAGAGGAAGCAGCCTGATCACCTTCCAGGATATCTACAAGACAGTCCAAAATTATAATCTCAAATATTTATTCCTTTCAGAAAACAAAGCATAATGTTGGGTATAGAAAAACCTTCAAGATAAGTATTTTAGTTAAAGTATAATCCACCTTTAGAAGTTGGAGCCTTAAAATTAGGAAGAAACTCCAGGTACTTTCTTACCAAATATTAATGAAGGAATATCAGGTGCTACAACTGTGTCACCCAACATTGCTTTACAGCAGTGTTTTCCAACCATTGGACCTGCTTAGTTTTGTACCAGCTCATAAAGAACTTGAAAAGTTGTATCAAAAGTATATCATTATCTTATATTTTAATTTATTAGTGCAAAAGCAGTATTTCTTCTATCAGATATACTTCTCACTTTTTTGTTCTGTGTCTCTGCTGAGTTCATAATATGGACTTTCATTGAGTACTGGGCCTCAATGTAAAACAGGTTGGGAACTACTGCCCTATAATATCTCTGTATTTAAAAACATTCTTATAATTAATCAGTTATCAGTTGATGGCTTGTAAAAATATGCATGTAATAACTGTTATGTACTTCAAAGGCATAAGTTTTTCAACTTAGGGTTTCTAATAGAAGGAATTACTATAAATAATAACTTGTATAATCATGATTACATTTTTTCATGATATCTATTATAATATATTAGTTACTACACAAGTATTCATGCTACAATATTGCTTTGTAATGTTGATAACATCTGTAGTGTAATAGATTCTACAAAATTGTACTTTTTGATGAGGTAATTACTTTAATGTGAAAAATGATGCACAAGTAAATTTTCTGCAAGAATACTGTGTTTTATACTCCCTTGAGTAAAAAAAAAAGATGTCAAATTTTGATATATGTAGATGTTAGTAGTTTAACATAGAACAATGGTCAAGAAAATAACTAAGCATGATTCCCTAAAGCATGATTTAGTTGAGGTTCCAATGTTGGTCTATCCATAATAAAATTGAGTTTTTGTTGGATACTGATGCCAGCAATAATGTAATTGGGGCAGTGTTATAGCATATGCAGGATAGAGTGGAACACTCAACAGTGCATGCTAGTTGTACACTCACATCTCCTGAATGCAGTTACTGTATAACAAAGAAAGTGCTTGAAGGTGTGGTCTTTGTCAAACATTACCAACAACACTTCTGTGCCATAGCAACATCAAGCCATATAGTAGGAGATACCACTAGTGGTTGGATATCACGATTAATGCTTTATGAGCTCTGAGAAGAGCAGCTAAGAACCCAGAACTAGTATGTGCACTTCTTGCCATGCAGCAAGGTGAAGTGTGGCCAACACAGATTGAGGAACATGCTGCAGACATAACCTATGGCACTTGTACAAACAGATACTAGTGAAGAAAAGTATGATGTACTATTTTTATCAACCAATGAAACATGTTTCTCAATTTGTTCTGCAGTAGTTGTTCTCAGATTTCTAAGGCAAGAAATTCTTCAGACTTTGCAGACACAGAGACTGGAGGATACCAAGGTGTTACATGTACTTGTGCTAATGTTCAATAATAGTTTTTACTAGCTGCATTCGAGGCAACACATTAAACACGATGTAAACATGGTACAGTGTCCTCTGTCCAGCAAAAAGTTTGCATAAACAGGGAAACCTCCAGCAGATAATTATTGGTTTGTTTTTAGAGAGAATGATGGTCCTCTTCTGAAAACTGAATGAGGTAAATGACTGGGTTACAGAATGGCTGTATTAGCTGTTGTCATGGTAATGATAAAAGTGGGCAGCACATCTGAGTGTTGATCAAACACAAGACTCAATGAAGCCTAGGAAACTGCGACATCCACAGTTGTAAGCATACCTTGTCTATAGGCAATATACACATAAGCACATATAAGCCTGTATAGATGTCACTTGATTTGGTAATAATTTTACCACTCTGTTTCTAAATGCAAGTTTAAGAAAATAAATGTTGTAATCAAGCCATTAGAACTTTAAACCTAAACTTATAGTTGGAACTCTGACCAATCAAATTCATTTGACCTTACATTTTAAATCTCAATATTTTTTTAAGATGATGCCCTTAACCCTTCTGGCTATCTTGTTTTCAACTGGCACTCGCCTCTGACAAGACTATCACATCCCCAAACTCAAGATTATCCTGCAGTTTAAGTATGGACAACAATCATCTAAGTCTTGGGAAGGTCCAACTTCATTGGGTCAGACCAACACAACACTGGCAACTGAACTGTTGATGGAAGAGATCAGTGTTGAAGCTTCAACATCTAATGTCACTCCCCTGCTGCCCAATCAAAGCTGATCATGTCAGCCTGCTGGTAATAAGCTGGAACCCCTGACAACACCACTGATGGTCATCAGCCAGTGATCTACATCTCAGCAAGTACTGATCCCGAAGTAGCATTGTCAGGCCTAAGCCACTAAGTGGACAGAGGTTAGGGTGCTGTACAACAAGGGAAAGGATTGTTTGCTGAAGCACAATGACCCACTATTTCAGCTGTAGAGGGAAGTGCAGTGGCAGCAGGTTGAGTTAGCCCAGGCCTGCAAGGCATTGGCAAAAGACAAAGAAATAACATGGTAGACTACCACTGCTAGCTGAAAATTAACCACCACCCTTGAAGGTCTTTTCAGTGATAACTAGGTTTAGGTGAGTGGTGCACTTTTGTCCCATATTTCTTTTGTTCATTAATTTTTGATAAAGAACTTTACCCTTTAACAAACCATGCTCAAGTGTTCTGGGCACAGTAAATATAAAGACATTACCCTTATTATTCTTTGCATTAAACCGAAATTATTGTTTTCAGCATACAAGTATTTGGTGTGCAAGTATGTACAGATTATTACTCTTTCTGCATGGATAACTCTGAAAAGTCATCCCTATGTTTGTACATTATGTAGTGTGTAAAATGTGGATGGCGTTACCCTTCTTATTTATCAATCTCAGACGTTTTTCGATGATCATATATATATTTAACAGGATCTTGACTTTAAGATGAGGGCTTGTACATATATATAGTAATGGTCTAAGGGTTTTCTTTCTTTTTTAATGTGTTTTTTAGTCTTATAATGTAATTTTATAAATGGTTTGTGTTCCTTTGATTTGAGTGTGCTTTACTACTAAAAGGTTTACCTTGTATTTCTAATCTAATGGGAAAGGTTTATTTTATGATTCTTTGATTTAAATGTAATTTGCCTTTTGTGTGCATAAAGAGTTTATTTCTGATTATTTTAGTTTGATTATGTATTGTAATCATTGTACATGTGTCAAAGAGTTCATTTTGTTTTGTATTCTTGAGTTTGTGCAGAGGCCATATTTCATTTTACATTTTAATGAAAGTTTTTTGTTTTTTTTGGTATTAATATTAAGGGGTGTGTTTCATTTTGTATTTGAAATTAAGTTTCAGTTAGCCATCTCTTGGAGTGAAGTTATGTTCTCTATTGTACTTTTATGTGTTACTATTTAAGTTTTACAGGGGTGAGAGAAAGTTACATTGGTTACTTCATTAATACTCAAACATAATTGATTAATTTTTAAAATTTAAAGTTAGGGATGGCTGTGATGGCTTGAAGTAAAAGGGGGAAGAAAAAAGCATTATATGCAGGTTTCTCTAGTTTAACACAGAATGTCAGTCAAGGAAATAGCTAAATTTCTTTAGTCCTAGTTACCTATTGCGCTGGGTCAGTTACCTAAGGTGACACATGTGGCTTCTCGTGAGAAAGAGTTTTGTAAATTTTAACATACTACATGAAAATAGATAGTCATCCTTTCCATTGCTGATTCATGTAATTCTGTGAGGATATAACCTCTTTTATTTTTAAATACATGTAGTATGCTTGAGTCTGACCCTCCACTATAGCAAATGATGTTGTCTATATACTCGTGTATAAGTAAAAACTCCCTTAACGTTAAACATATACTCACTTATAAGTAAAACCTCTCTTAATGTTAAACGTATTCCACAAATAAATTAACATAATGATTTCAGAATTTTATTTCCTTGGCCACTTAAAAACTATCTTGTTTTTAGTCTGTTGTTATTACAGTATTCAGTTGTTAAAGCATTGGATCCTATGAAGTAGTGCTTAATATTCGTATGGTCAATACAATGTATAAACAAGCACTATATATTGAGAATAAAGTGGCACCTTCATATTCATCATAACTAGCTCAATGAAATAATCATAAAAATGAAATATTGTCTTCATGTCCAGACCACACATTTAAGTAAAATAATATCTTTTTTTTTTCTTATGTTAGCAAAGTATTAAATACTCATATAAGTAAGGTACTATCATTATGTTCAAAGTAACTAGTTCAATATTATAGTCTTTAAAGTGAAAAAGTGTTTTCACATTCAAAGTAACTACTTCAACAAGACTTTCAAAAAAGTTAGGTAGTATCTTCATATCAAATAACTAATTAACTGTCACACTCATACAAGTGATGCAGTATCTTTATGATGAGGATAACTAGCTCAAAGAAATACTCATTGAAGGAAAATAATGTCTCTATGTTCAGAGTAACTAGTATAACTCTCACAAATTAATGTCTTTATGTTCAAAGTAACTAGTATAACTCTCACAAATTAATGTCTTTATGTTCAGAGTAACTAGTTAGCTATAGCTCTCACAAAATAATGTCTAAGCTAAGAGTAACTAGCTAGCAATAACTCTCACAAAATAATGTCTTACTTTTCAGAGTAACCAGCTAGCTATAATACTCACAAAATAATGTCTTTATGTTCAAGGTAAGCAGCTGAACATAAGTTTTGAATCAGGAATCATGACCATTACATAAGTGAGCAAGAAGCGATGGAGAATTGGAAAAGGGATTGTTAAAAAAGTTCTTAATTATTCAATCACTTCATTAGCCTTGTAACCATGGCTTTAAACAGAGATCTACAGCAAATGTAATTGGGTAAAATGCATAATTAATTTCCATAGTTAATTCTTGCATGTCAAATTTTAAATTCCTATCTTTTATCATAGTTTCTTCTCAGAAAGATACCGTGTAGTTATTATGATCTACCTTGGGATGGATCTCTAAGTTTTTGTGTTACCTTTATTAATTGTTATTTCATCAAAGAAATTAGTATCTTATGAATAAAAAATATGTCATTAATTAGGCCATAAGGATTTTTTTATTTTCTGCTCTAAGTTGTTTTTTCTATCCTAATACAAAAAGACGAGACATAAAATTTTTTCCCAATACTATGTCATTCTCTGTTTAAAGATTTTATTAATAAAATAATTCAAATGAAAAATGAAATTTCTAAATTTTACCTTGGGATATTGCACCTTCATGTTCAGGGTAGCTAGTACGACGTAAAAACCTCTCAACCACTTTCTGACTTCTATCTCTAGAATGAAGTCGTATACTGAGTCCTCGTGATGGGACATTGCTGTCACTTCTAACACTCCACTGATGTGACAAACCTGATTTATGAGAAGTTACACTACCACGAGATTCTACTAAGTAAAAAGAAGGAAAGAAAATTTCAGGTATAATCCAAGATGAATAACGTAAAAGAGTACAAAAAACACTAGATGGTAAAATAATATTTCACAACAGGGGATACCATCTAGTGTATGGAAGCACGCTATGTTAATATAATGGTAAATTGATAAAAATAAACAAATTAAAACCATTTCATTATGTTTATAAATCATTGTTTCTCAGTTTACTGTTACGGGATCTCATCAAACACAAATGCAAAACTTTAAACCAAAATATGGAAACCACTATCATTGTATTAAACCTGTATCTCTGCCACTTGCTTTAGGTCATGGATATACCAGTTTTGCAAATTTTATGCATGGAAGAATAACAAAATATGTCAATAATTTTTGCATTATGTATTGAAACAATAAGAGTTAATACGTATGGCCAGCTAGCAAATGAACACATACATAAATTCTCACCAAACTCTTTGAGACCATTTTGTTGCCATTTAGTGCTAGGAAGATGTGTGTAACATCATATGTGATAAACTTGTTTCATGTCCTTTGTTTATAATGCTATTCTGTGAGACAGTACTTGTTAAAATCCTTGAACATAATCACAGTGTCATTCTCTGACAAAGCCTTTGTATTGTACAACTATGTATTCAAGCAGGAAAATCCTTATTTTGGATAGTACTTATTTCTCACTTCACTGTATGATCCTTTAACCCTAGTGGACTTTTTTTTAAATTTTTCGGATATTTTTATTTGCCAAACTGCATGTAGGTCCACAAGTTTGTTGGTTACAGAACCCCTAATAACACATAAGCACCAATTTATTTATTTTCTTTCATTGTTACACAAGATTTAAACATGCACTTTTTAAGTTGAAAACTGGCTGTATCATTTGTAGCCTTGCCTGGTAAAATTGCATTAAAATTTAAAGAGGAAAGTTTTTCCTCCATTGTAGTGATCATATTACACTTTTTACATTACTACAGCAATTTTATATAAGTTAACATTTTTTTACACTGAAAATATATTTCCAATAGGTACTTACCTCCTGTCACCCAAAGCTATCTTGATGCTGGACTGCCCTCTAAGCATTGCTAAAATGTTTTACTAACATCACACTAGTCCTTTATACCCCATCAGTTTCACACCATTTCATAACATGTGTTGATCATGTGACTACCCTCCAGCAATCAAACTGCACCATCTATACTAGCACAGCTATCACCCTCTACTATTCTAGAACAATCCTCACTTTCAAGAATTGGCAGGTGCAAACCAGAAACACTGGCATAACAGTGGGGAGGAAGGGTGGGAAGTGGATGAGAAGAGGTAAGTACCTATCAGAAATACATTTTCAGTGTAAGAAAATGTTAACCTCTGAAACAGTCTTACCTACTCTCACCCAAAGCTAGAATCCCACATTGCAAAAGTTGGAGGGGGCTGGTGAAGGAGCATCAATATCTAATCAAGCAGAAAGAAACTGCATTGAAAGAACAGGTGTGCAAGAATATAAAAAGAAAGTACACCTGTGGGGTATAGCACTACTTCTGGAACAGGTATGCTCTTTGCTCAGTAATTAACACAGGAACAAAAAGAGGGCAGAATTGAATTGGCAGGCACCAATGCATTCAGGAAAGAGATATACAGCACTGCATTGACAAACAGAAAGTCTAGTGTGTAAGCGACAATGGGCCCATATAAGTATGTGCCAAGGGTAGTGCTTTGGGTTATATCAGAGTATGTCAAATGCAGTCCATCTGGGCAAAACATCCAGTAGAAATACCTTGTATAAGATATTGTGATCCACAAGTGAGGTCCTTCAGGGCAAAAAACATCCAGGGGAAGCGCTTTGGATACGTAAGATTATGAAAAAAAAAATTACAGGTATGAGTGTGATCGTGAGGGTTTTCATAACAAGCTCATTGTCAATATACGTCATACTTCGTCTGCATATGTAGCAGGCCATAGTACTGATCATAATGATAGTGAGCCATAGTATGGTGCCAGAGAAAAATGAAATAACTATATGTGGCTAGGGTTGAAGGACTGTGAATTGTATATGAATAGGCCAAGTGGGTAATTGTTTTGGGATATGTTGAATTATGCCCAGTGCAGTCTATCCAGGGAAAGACATCCAGGGGAAGTGCCTTGGATACATAATATTTGTTATTTTGGCCAAGTGTTGTCTACTCAAACAAAAACGTTCAGTGGAAGCACCTTGGGATGTGTTGGATTGTGCCAAGTGTGGTACATCCAGGCATAAAACATCCAGTGGAAGCATCTTGCATAAGATATAGAAATCAACAAGTGCAGTTCACCTGGGTAACACCCAGGGGGAAGCACCTTGGATACACAGAATTAGGCCAAGTGCAGTTTGCCTGGGCGAAAAACATCCAGGGTAAGCACCTTGGGTTACGTCAGATTATGCCATGTGCAGTCCATCTGGGCAGAAAATATCAAGTGGAAGTGCCTTGCCTAAAAAAATTATGATCAACAAGTGCAGTCTGCCCAGGAAAAAACATCCAGGGCAAGTGCCTGGGATCTTGAATATAATGTTATTGTATAATAATTTTTGGCTATAGCAATGAGTATAATGATGATAGCTCTCTTTTCACCGAGTGGGTACACATAATATATAAAGTTTGATGCTGTTTGTTGTACAAAATCCACTGGGAACTGGAAGTGGCAAGGACTCCTGTGCTCCACTAAAACAGAAGGGGGGGGGGATACGTGTTGGGGAGTCTAGAGGAACAATACACCAGAGACAATGCAATGGGTGCCTGTGATACTTTATTTGGAAAAGCAGAAAGGCTCTGATTGGAGGAATCAGGGGTCAGTAGGGATGGTTAGAAATTCCCATCTGTTTTACTCATGAAGTCCATGAGTGATGGCCCTTTATATATGAAACAATGAACATTGATAAATCCTGATCAAACAACCAGGTGAAGAACTGAGACAGATGAGGAACAGAAGGACAAGATGGGTGGAAGCCACAGTGAACAGGTCAAAGTTTGAAGGTGCCTTTGGCACATAGACAAGGAGGAAGGTCAAATGGTATGGGCCAGTAAAGACACTACACAAGGGGTGAGTCCCTGAGCTGAGGCAAGCTACTTGACAAAAGCCACGTATGAAAATGGAGTTTGGTGACATTGGGATGAAATATGTCTAATCGTGGCAGTCGAAGGAGCGATTGGGACAGGTAAGGGCAGGGGCTGTTGCTCCAGTAAGGATCAGAGCAGAGGGAACCACATCTGAGCAGGCCAATACAGAGCAACCAGCAGAACAAGACAAGAAGTGGTCTGGTTAAGGGAAATGACTCTGGATAGGAGTCTGATCGGAGGGTCGGCACATAGATGATGACTCCTCCAATCTAAACTGAATGCATCCACCCCCAGAGCTGAGGGTGTGGAACTGGAGACCAAAAGGAAGGAGGTTTGGCATTCCAGTGAGTGGCAAATGCATCTATATGCAGTGTTCCCAGTTGAGAACACACCCACCAAAATACCTGAGGATGAAGGGACCACTCCGTGGGGAGAACCTGGCTGGGACAAGATAAGCGATCAGCCACAAGATTCATAATTCTGGGAACATGACACACCAGGACTGTTATATCATGGACACTGGCCCAGTACAGGAGATCCAGAGTCTGAAACATAGAGATCTATATTTGTTTCCCTTTGCTTGGTGATATAGCTAAGGACAGTGGAAATTGTCAGAATGAGCCATTACCACCTGCCCCTGCAGGAGCAGGAGGAAATGATACAGAGCCTGACAAACTGCCAAAAGTTCTAGGATGTTGACATGGAGAGTAGCCTCCTCGACTGTCCACTGACCAGAAATCTCTCAAGAATCGAGGAAAGACCCCCAACCCACCAAGGAAGCATCAGTGAACAGATGAGACTCGGGATGAGGTAGAGGAATGGAAACACCACAGTGGTCAGTTCCCTGTCGAGCCACCAAGCAAGGTTGGCCCTGATCTCATAGGAAAGGGTGATGGGATGGGAGAAGTTCCACGGGTCGAGAAGTGTCCACTGAATGGAAAATATGCGACCGATCCAAGGGAATGAGAGCTTCCATAGAAGCCCACATACCCAAAAGAGATAGAACCTCTTGTGCAGAGAGAAAGAAGGAGAAGGTAGGCCTTTCATGACTGCCCACTCCATATACCTGAGATGAAGTGGAGAAAGCTGGGCCCAATTGAGATGGGAATTGAAGAGAGCCCCCAAATTAATAAGATATTGCATGGAGGTAATAAGGGACTTCTCCAACTTGATAAGAAACCCCACCCAAACAGCTTCTGAAAGAAGTAAGCGAGTGTGAGCGACTGGCTGGGCATGGGAAGAGGCAAGCACTAGCCAGTTGTCCAGGTGATGGTAAGTTTGAAAACCCAGTGAGTGAAGATGACATGCAAAAACGCATTACTTGACAAAACACATACGGAACTGAAGAAAGACTGAACAAAAGTGCACAGAACTGGAAGACACAACCCTTGTGGATAAGCCTAAGAAAATGGCATGACATTGGGGCAATTGGAATATGAAGATAGGCATACATCACATCGATCTTGGTCATCCAAAATCCCAGGGGAAATCCACCGAAGTGAGAGGTAAAACTCCATTATCGGGACATATCTATGATGGGTCTCCAATCTCCCATCTTTTTGGGGACAACAAATAGAAGGGATTAAAATCTTGGTTGAGTGGGTACAACCCGTTTGATAGCTCTCTTGTATAGGAGGTCTCAATCACACTCGGCTAGATGACTAGACGAGGTACAATCACAAGGAGGAGGGAAGGAAACCGGGGAAGAGGAGAGGGGACTGGAACTGAAGGCAAAGACCCACTGATCTATTGTGAAGAGTCACCAAACAGTTTAAAACTGTAGCAACCTGGTCCCCACCTGCCCTGGAAAGAACATCCTGTTACTTATAATGCTGACCTTTGGTGGAATGGAACAGGAAGCCAAGGATAAGGATGGGAATGCCTGAAGGAGGATAAGGGATGGGGAGAGGAAGGAGGGGCACGGGAAACACAGACTAGTGAAGGCTGGGTGGGAACAGCAGAAAAAAAAAACACATCGACCTGAGATTCCAATGACTCAGGAAGACCCTGAAAAACAGTTTTGTGAAGAAACAGAGCCTGATGAAGATTCCTCAAAAAAGAAAGGGAAGACACACACCCTCAAGTAATGCATCCCACCTAGCAAATCCCAGTTGATGCTGACAAATGAACCATAGTAGACCAGAAGAGGTTCCTGAGTTCATCAGAAAAGTGATCAAATGACTGGCAAAAGGCTTGAGACAACAATTGTAAGGTGGAAATAGTATGTAAAATGAAGGTCAGGGTAAAACAAATCCTAGAAAACTAGGACTGATTAAAATGGATCAAAGACCCAAGATTCGAGCCCCACAGAGGGAGGAGAGGATCCAAATGCTGGAAATCCAAAAGTGGATCTGAGGCCCGCTGGTAAGCTAATCAGCTGAGGGAGGTGGGGGATACCCATCCCAACAGCAATTGTTCAGCAAACCATTGAGCATGAACCTGTGTGTCAGCTGAGGGAGGAAAAACAATAAATTGAACGGGGTTTGTCACTTAACAAGGAAGGTGAGGAATCAAAGGCTAAAGGCGAAACATGTAAAACTTGTAATACCTGATCAATAAGGTGTAGGAAATGCAAGGTTGATAAACTCTCTTGACTGTCAGCATTATGTGACTGACCAAAAATAAGTGGAGCTGGAAAAAGAAAAAAAGAGTCCAAATTGTCTTCACTCTGATGATATTCTTCCTCAGAAGCATGTTCAGGGGGAAAGGGAGAAGTCATCGATGGCCAAACATAAGCTTCTAACTCCCTGCAAATTAAAGCCTGAACTTCCTCAGCAGATATTGCCAACCTACCGAACTAGTGTCATTGCCAACTTTGACATTCACGTGAATGTCATCATCCACTGCATTAAAACTCTAATTCATATTACAAAGTAGAATTCAAGAAATAATAAACTTTTGAAAACAAAACGAAATTAAATAATCTAAAGCAAAGACTAAAGTTGAAACTTGAAGGTTGACACTGAGAAATCACAAACTAAACTGCAGTAGTCTTATGTAGAACAAATTAAACATGTCAAGACACCCTAATCCCAATCGAGAAAGTGAGGATTGTTCTAGTAGAGGGAGCTAGCTGCACTATTATAGATGGTGCAGTATGATTGATGGAGGGTAGTCAAATGATCAGCACATGTTCTGAAATGGCACAAAACTGATGGGGTATAAAAGATTGGTGCACTGTTAACAAAAAATTATAGCAATGATTAGAAGAAAGTCCAGGATCAAGATAGTTTTGGGTGAGAGGAGGTAAGAACATTTTGGGATTACATTTGATATGGCTTTAATTTAAAAATTTAGGTCCAAGTTCTATTTACTACAGTATCAGTCATGAATGATTTACTCTAATGAACCATTAACTTAAACATTTAATACTTGATTCTGTGAATTGAGCCCAAAAGATATGAATTACCTCCACGTCCATGACATGATCCAGTGGATACTAAGCCTGGGGGATTTCCAAGACGAGTTACACTGTGTTGGTCTGATGTCAGTTCTGTAAAGCTAGGACGATGTGCTCCACCAATCACACTTCGAGTGTAACTGGTGGACTGTGAAATGTCTCCAATACTGTAGGAATCTGGGTTTGAGATCCAATTAAAAAAACATTAAAATTTTGTACTTATTTATTTTGACTAACTAAAACAAAAATCTATTAAATTTATCTTAATTGCTTATATTATTGGTACAAAGATCTATTACATAACTAAGCTAGACTGACCTAACTTACGAGACACAAGGTCATCCTTGAGAGCCTTCATCTCAGCCACTAAATCCATAAGAAGAGTTCCACGACTCTTTGGGGTTGGTAGACTGAATCCTTGAAGCTTCTCTCTGATCAGTTGCTGATAATAGTATTCTTGTTCATTGTCACAAATTGTTTGCAGAATCTGTTAAGAAAGAATTATTGTTGTGTTATCATTTTACTGATGGTTTTATCCTTTTGTTTTCGCATGTCAAATGTAGTTTTCTAAGGCAGCCACTGAGTTATTTTCAGAATAAAGACTGATTACACCACCACTCTGGAGGCAAATTTATTTAAAGTCAGCCTGAAAACTAGCTATAAGTAAATTACTCAACAAATCACCATACTGATAGTAGTGTTTTTAATTAGAAGCATAAACACTGAAGAAAGTGTTAATGTTATTAATATAGTAGTTTTAAAAACAGGTTATGAATTAGTTCAGTTCAGTTTAGTTTATTCTAAACATAGCACTGGCACTTACCCTATATTTTATTAAAGGGTACAAAAGGATGAAGAGAGGAGTTCGATGGGTCACTACAAAGTCCAAAAAATTCCATAAAGCAAGTCCACCTGTTTGTTGAGAGAAGTATTTGATAAAAACATTATAATAACCTTTGCTGAAAGGAAACTTATCACTCTAGTACTTTCTGAAGAAAATATATTTAAAAGTATGATATTTAAGTAACTCCATCATACTAATCAAAATGTTTAGTATGTGTAGTTTTTGTAAAACAATCTCGACAGTGTACAATGATCATACAAATACAAAGTTCTACAGTCAAGAAATAAAGATTCTGGATGTTATGAATGATTAATTTTTATTTCAAAAAGATATTTCCTCCAAATGAATATACATATATGGCTAACAGTACAATTAATTATAAAATTTGTTTTAGGCTATGCCTTTTTTTTACTGCTTTAATAACACAGACCTGTGAATTTAAACTTCATAAAATTCGTTTTAGTTTTAATAACAGATTTCCATAATTCAGGTACGTAGATTTCGAAAATAATATTATTCACTTAATCTATCACTTAAGGATTGTTTAAAAATCTGGAATAAAAAAAATCTTACTTAGATCAAATTATTATTTAGTTTACCACAAAGAACATTTTTTATTATTATGTTTGGGTTCTAGAACAGTCGATAAGACTCTAACGTCATGATTGGT